ATTCCCCACAAAGGCTGAATCGGCTATTGCTATTTTAAGTTTATCAAGTGATTTTAAGTTTCAAAGCACTTTCTTATATATTTCAACTATTATCTTTATAAAAACCCTGTAGGACAGCAAGGATTGATTCTGTCAGATGGACGCAATCTGATTCAGATACATTGGACAGGTTTTTAAAAGTTATAGTTAATATAATATGTAACCCACAATAAAATAGAATACAAGTCTCCTTATCTCTTTACACTTTCTGTTAGATTATGATGCCTATCAAGTCATATTTAACTCTTTAGAAATGATGATTTTTAAATTTGAATTTCTAACAGACAAAGAACACAACATAGTGTAGTAGAAAAGAGGTGACTTAGTCACTGTGTATGATGGCCAACACAGCTTTATAAATGGTTTCTCTACTGCCAGTTATTGTTTACATATGATTACTGTGATACCATCCAGAACCATTTCACTCTTCTTCAGGAAGATCCCATTTTGCTGAGTTTTCATGTCTTCAGGCAATTTACTATGCCTTGTCTGATCTTGAAATCCACGGTGGTGCAGTGGTGTTAATTTTTACAATACCATCTCAAAATTGAAAAATATAATTCATTAAATAATGCTTTAACTTAATAACATGAAGACCTCCATGCAGAAGTGAGAAAAGTCAATAGAATAATATCTTTGAAAGTGAAAACATATTAGCTGAAAATATACATGATATTTCTCAGTTTGGGGAAAGTTATTCAATGCTTCTTACATATTCATGACTAAATAAAAAAGCCAACATTATAAATCTATTTCATTATTTTAGATAAGTACTTTAGATTATTTAATTTCTAAACTATTTAACAAAATTATTAAATAGTTGAATTTGAAAATTCCAGATTTGAATATTGTTGGAGCTTGTGTTTACATTGTTTCATAAGCCAAAAAATTTTAAAAAACTTTACTTGAAACATATATACATAACCATATAAATACAGAATTTAGAAATCTACTGAAAGTTTGAAGTTGAGTTATTGTAGAAAACATCTATTGGTTATTCTAAGTATTTAAAATGAGAGATAATCTGAATTCTATTGTCAATTAGTCAAAGCTATTAGTTGAGTATGTAGGAATCACTGCAAATTTTAAGAAAAATTAAAATTTTAACCAGTATGATATCATTGAATAATAATGAAGACAACAAAGGGGACTTATTTTGTTTTGCAATATAAGGGAAGGAGCTGTAGAGCAAGGAACTAGATTACATTTCTTAATTCTGCCAATATCAATATTTTTGAAGTTAAAAACCTGTAACAACTCAGCCATGCAAACCAAATGAGTGTTATTACACAGAATCTCAGTGTATAATCAAAAGATCCATAATTCTATAATAAAAATACTAGCAAAGAAATATACACGGGATATGTGAAAGCTGTGCAGACATGAAACTGGGCATTGAGAAATATTGGTCGTTCTCTTCTTCAATTCTTTGACATTCTCAGCTTCTCTGACACTATCCTCTCACACACAGTTTCTCTCTTTTCTTTCTAGTCATACTTTTTGGTGTTCTTCCTAGGATCCTCTTCCTATACCCAGCTCAAAAATGCCAGTATTTCATAGGGTCTTGTCTTAATCTAATGATTTTTCATCTGTGGTATTATTCTTAGACAATTTCAGCCATATTCATGGTTTTAAGTGATCATCCTAACTTTGTAAGTCTCAGGTTTATCTCCTGGTTCTCTGAATCAAATTGGTCTCTCTTCCTTTTTATCAACCTAATCTTTCTCTTATTCTTTCAATATCCATTAATGGCACTACCATCTACCCAGTCATGCAAGAAACATGGGAGACATCTTCTGTTTTCTCCTCACATACAACCAGTCGCTAAGTTGGGTGACTACTAATTGTGCTCTTTAAAAATATTCACTGATTTTAGTTTTCCAATATATTCTGTATTATAAATGGTTAATTATAAATGGTTTTTCAATGATTTGTAAATTTTCCTGGGTGTGTTTTTTCCTATGTGATATATTACATAGGAACTGAAAAAATGTAAGACTTTTTTTTTTTTTTCCACTAATGGAGACTGGACCGAAGACCTTGTGCATACTATACAAAGTCCTTATCACTTAACTATCTTCCCAGTCCCAAGATAACAGTTTTTTTTTATGACTAAATTCATCTCTAGTGAAAAAAATCCTGAATCCATCATCCACATCACCATTTTTAGTACAACCGACTTAGTTCAGGATCTTACATCTTATTTGAATTACTGCACTGCTTTGCTAATCATTCTAAAATGTTCTTTACCAGATGTGAACTTAAATTTGCGTCTTTATTGTAGTCCCACTAGAATATAATTTCTAAGAGGAAAATTATCTCTGTTTTCTCCAGGATTCTCCCTGATATGACACATGCCAAATATTTTTTACCAAAATAAATAATAAACTGGCCTACAAACTACAAATATGATGATATCAATCCTTTATTGAAAACCTTTCAAAATGTCTATCACCTATAAATGTGACCTGTGGACTCTCAATTGATCTGGTTCCTGATCAGCCTCATCTCTAGCCACTCAATATTTTATGTTAAAATTACACATAACCACTTATCATTCATGTATATATTTACACCTTGATTATTAAAGCATTTATTTGCAAGATCTTTCTAATTGTCTTTTACCTAGTTAATAGTCACTCTAGTCACTGAGATGATTACTCTGATTGGGTACCATATCCAGGAATTCATTTCTGGAATTCTAGGTTGGATCAATTGGTCTGTGTCTGAGCATACAAGGCACCTTCTTTGTAATTTTATTTTATCACTGATATATTAGTTGGAAGAAATCTGTCTAAAAACCTGTCTCCTATTAGATTGTATGTAACTTTGCTTATAAATGATTTAATGTTTAATTATCAACACCCATTTGAAAAAAGACATTGCTTTAACTCACAAATTTCTTAATTGCTATCTTATCTTTATTCTTGATGTGTCTGGAACAAAGTAAGTGCTCAATATTTATCTAAAAACTAACAAATGGAATTAAATAGCTGGTCTAATGCCACATCTCTCTAACTTGTAGTTTTAAATATAAAAAAATTAAATTAAATATATTTTGAACTAATACATAAAACATAAAACTTGTACATATAAATGGGATATCATGTAATGTTTCAATACATGTATGCATTGTGTCATGTTTGAGTTGAGTTAAACACATCTCTCTTCAAACATGTACCATTTCTTTTTTTAAAATATATTTTTAGTTGTTGACAGACCTTTATTTTATTTATTTATTTATTTATATGCAGTGCTGAGAATTAAACCTAGGGCCTCAAATGTGCTAGGCAAGCGCTCTACCACTGAGCCACAACCCCAGCCCCCAACATGTACCATTTCTTTATGGTTTAAACTGTAAAAACCCTTTCAAATATATTTTTGAATGTATAGGACATTATGGTTATCTATAGTCATCCTACTGTTTAATAGTACACCAGAACTTCTTGTTCCTATATAACTGTAACTTAGCACTTATTGATCAACTTTTCTCCATCCCTTCCTCCTCCATAATTTATAATCCTAATAATGTTCATTTTAGGTTCCTATTTTTTAAATTTCATAGACTTTACTTTTTCAAGGTAAATGCTGCTTTCAAACTGTAAAGGAAGTGAGTTTGTCTGCACTAAAATAAAGCATTAGATATAAAGATGTTGACAAATTTTAAAGAGGAAAATGCAATAAAGTTCTAACCACTAGAGAAGTATAAAAACACTCCTCAATTTCAAAAGAACAGATGTCATATTAGCACAGTATAGTGAATTATGTATAAATATTAGCAGATTAAAAATCATATAAATGTGATCTATATGTCCACTGTCCAAAAATGAAACTTCTATTTCTAAGTTAAAATGAGAAATAACATTTTAAAACACCAAATGAAAAATTACCATAACAAAATCACATTAAACATAGCAACTTATAACCAGAACATAAGGAATACCATCAAATAAATATTTCAATATAGTATTTTTATATAGTTTTCAGAATCACCATTACAGTTTGTAAAACCAAGATTAGCTGAGTCTAAGAATTAATGTAACCATAAATTATTTTGTGGTGTAGACTTTTTACTTATTTTTGTGTACAAAAACACTAGTATTCAAACATAAATTAGATTTAATCCAGTTGCCTATAATTTATTTTGCTATAAAAGAAACACCATATTACATGCTTTTGTTTGTTAAGTAGAAGATACACTATTATTTTCAAGATACCAGGGATTTAATGTTTAATTATCAACACCCATTTGTAAAAAGACATTGCTTTGACTCACAAATTTCTTAATTGCTAACAGTGGCTTTTCTGAGTAGGAGTGTTGTATATAATTTATTTTTGCAGATGTGATTTAGAAGCTGAATTTCAAAGCAGCAAAGCTTTGAATATCTTCACTGTCAGCAGAAAATCCCCCCCTCCCCTGCTGCTGGAGAATACTGCCGCTTGAAGTTTAAACAGGGAAATAAAAACTGCTGTGAGAAAATTGATACTACTGGTAAATGTTGCTTACAAACTGTAAAGGAAGTTAGTTTGTCAGCACTAAAAGAACTGTATTATTCACACAAATTACGAGGCATCATCTTCATGGCAACTTGCTGGGAATGAAAATTAATTTGGCTGGTTCCAACTTGAGGAACCTAAAGGAAAGCAAATATCCCTGAGATCAGAATATCATACAGAGGATCATCAGTAGGCTCTGGGAGTACCACAGCTTAACTCCTCCCTGAGGAGGAAAGACACACATTCCAAGAACAGTGGCCAAGCTTCACTTGGAAGCAAGTTTATTGATCACTGCAAAAAAAAAAAATCATGGTTATGTTTTCAGAAATGTTTACTAGTTTTAAATGTTCCTTTCCTCCTGGAACATGTCATCATCCTCACAGTACTGCAATAAAATGAGTAACAGAAAAATATATTTAATGACAACTCAAATAATAAGTCAAAAGTAACATAAAAATTCCTACCCGTTTGGCTGAGTTGAGAAGCACTGCGACTTTTCCGAGAGAGACCAACAATAGCTACCATTTTGGCCCCAATGCTAGAGCGTCGCTTCTTGCCACTGGTGCCCAACGCGCCCACTGCAGTGTCAGACTGGCTGCCATCATTCTTCTCCAGTGAGCACATGTCTCCACTGATGCTGGTGCTTTTGGTCATGTTCTTCCCTGATATGCCCATTTGTCTGCTTTGCATTTTGGATGTAAAGACACTGTCAGCCGATGGATCATTAAAAGTGAGGACAAGAGTAAAAGGGAAAAGACAGAAGAGGCATTTTAGATGAAACATCTGGAATTTAATTAAATTTTATCATCTATGGAACATAATTTTAGGATTTAAAATTTTTTCAATACCTTGCTTTTCAATGTGATTTACTATTCAGGACCCATAAGGCAACTATGCAAAATCAGACTTAGGATTTAGCATTAGGATTAGGATTGGCATGTGAGCTTGTTTGATGATCTATTGCAAGACTAATACTGCAAATGGGAGTAATGAAAGAAAAGTCTCTGGATTTTTCTCACAATTCCTGGGGTGTGATAGGAAAGGGTTGGAAATGGGAAGTGAATCTGGAAGCAGATTATTTAGCTGGCTTCATAAATACTTCATAAGTATGTGAAGGAAGTGGTCTGTTTTGAAGGAATAGGAAACTCATCATCAATATTTGACTCAGTCTCTGCTTTAATTTTATTCTGATAACAGGAGTGTTTAACACATAAAGCATTTAAAGCACAAGAATTAGAAAACTGATCTACTGAGTTGAACTCTTATTCCTTTTTTTCATTTTTTTCATTTGTTTTAATTGAACTCTTATTCTTAATTCAATATCTTGGTCTATCAGAAAAAAAAATTTAAAGGCTATAACCAGTCTTTTAAAGGTGGGGAAGATCCATCACAATTTTTTTTTTAAATACAGTATCATGTACCATACTTTCACTCATATTACTTTTGAAAAATTAGGCAGCCAGATATGGTGGCATATGCCTGTAATCCCAACAACTCAGGAGGCTGAGGAAGGAGGATCACAATTTCAAGGCCAGATCCAGCAATTCAGCAAGACCCTAAACAACTTAGCAAGACCTGGATTGAAATAAAAAATAAAGGACTTGGGATGGCTTAGTGGTTATGTACCTCTGGGATCAATCTCCAGTCCCCCCCCCCCAATAAGGCATACATAGACAGAAAGAGTGCAAAAGAAAAGAAGAGTGTGTTTCTATAATGCATAAAATTAATAATTTTCAAGCTTGTTTGATTTTTGTTGTTGTTCTTTAATGAAACAGCAACAGAGTAAAATATATTTTTGGAGGTAAATAGACAAGATCTATTAGTCTGAGCTTTAAAGCTACTTAACTAACTTAGTTTAGATGAAATATTTATTCCACTTTAAGCCCTAGGTTCCTCATTTCTAAAATGGGAATATTTTATTTTTTCTTTTTGTTTTAAAAAACAGCATGTCTGAAATAAAAGTTAATAAATGGAGATTATTATCAGGGCCTGTGGACAATTGATAAAATAAGGCTAAATCCCTTCAACATTTATGATATAAATATTTAATAGAATATTTAGTAGGAATAATACTAATAACTATAAATTTAAAAACTTTGGAGATTAAATTTCTAAAGTAGTTTTAACATGGCCTGCACTACATAGTGGACAGGAGGCGGCACTGAGAGTCAGGAGCTAGATTTGATCTTTGGTTTTATTAACTAACCATGTGACCTTAGGGGGAATTGTTTCTCCTTTCTGGGACTTAGTTTCCTCATTCAATAAGTGAGAAAATATAAGCAAGGCACTATGCAGAATGCCAGGTACATAATAAGAGCTACAAAAATTTTGTTCTTTCTTCTCAGTATTATCGCCATCATCATCCCTTCAGCACCCATTAAACATATAGAACTGCAACATCTTTAAGGTCTCCTTTAATGATGAAATTCCTTGTTCCCCAAATATCTCTTATTCCATGGATTTGGGGCAACAAATACAAAGATGCAATGTATGATTTTCATGGTATGCTACCATTAAAAAAGGCATGAAATAGTGTGGAAGTGTCGAAGTTTAATTGAGACTAAGGTTTAGTCAGGTTAACCTAGTGCTCCAGTTTTATACCAATTTTCATCAAAAACATACTTTTCTAAGAACCCCCAACCTGTTACTTATAAAGGAGGCCAAAGATAAACTCCTTATTGTACTAATGATTTTTGCATTTTAATTTTCATGGCTTGATATAAAAGTATACAGAACTTCAGGAAAATCAAATAAGAAAAATGCTAACTGAAATTGATAAATGATTTATAGATAAATAGATAAACATTTTAATAACAATTTGGTTTTATAGATGTGCACTTCTCTTCAACCCAACAACTTTTATTGTGCACTATTACTAAGGGGGTTATTAGAGGTTTTGTACAATGAATCTACTTTTCATTTCCTGGAAACATCACAAAGGGTGAGTTTATGAACTGTTATTATCGAGTGAGGAGTTCTTAGGGGAGAGATTGAGTCTAGGAAATCACTACTGGTTTCCTTTTCTTTACTTACTTGATAGCATCTAAAACTACAAGCAGAAAGTGTTGCAAGTCAGCAAAGGTACTAACCAAAATTTTAGTTTTGGGACTCTTAATTTGTGTAATGCTTTGTAGTAAAGAATTTAAAAATATGGGCAACTTTTGGGAATGTTCAATATGGTTAGGAAAGCACAGTTCCATTCTGAAAGAGAGGATTGGTAGGGGTCTTGTAAAATGCTGAATTTCAGTACCACTGGTGGAGCTCTCAGTAATAAATTTTTGAAGTAAAACTTGACAATATGTATCAAAATTTTTTTAAATGTCTGAATTTTAACTTAGCAATTCTACTTTTAGAGTTTGTCATAAGGGAAAACTTAGCTGTGTGTTTAGATTTAGCTACAATGATATTTATTGCACAATTGATTACAATGCAAAAACAAAACAAGAAATTTAAACAAGGGGGAAACCCATAAAGGTCCAAGTGAAGAGGGGTTTAAATAAATTATGATCATCAATAAAATAGAATGTCAAGTCAAGTGTGGCATGTTTTCTCCTCATATATGGAACCTAGAGACAAAAAGAAGTAAACAAAATAAAACAAAAACAGAGTGGATTAGAAAGAAGACCAATAGACCGGAGAATGATAATCAGGGGGGATGGGGAATGAGATTAATCAAATTGTTGTGTACAAACATGTCACTATGATTTCCACTATTATGTATGGTCATAATGCACTAATAAAATAAAATTAAAATTAAAAGCACATAAAGTAGAATGCACTTTAGAAAATGCAGATATAAAAAGCATTTATTGACATAAAAAGATATTCATAATGAGAGAGGGAAAGCAGATATCTGTAGTTTAGTTTTGGCTACCCTACATACCAAACATGGATTCCCCTTACTACTAGAGGACACAGGCAATTTTAAACTCTGGAGGCTTTCCAGAGGCATAAATAGAAACCAAAATTCACTAAACCAGAAATAAAGAAACACTTCTTGCTAAACTAAATAGCTGAGTAAACCTGGATTCAGGACATGATTCATCAATCCCCTACACACGAAGGGAAAAAGGGAACATGGAGAAAAATAATATTATATGTTCAGAATGGGAATAGGCGAAAAATATAAAATGTAACCATTGTGATACAATTAGTTTGACTATTTTCTAGGTATATTTTAAAAAAATGTTCATTTCTTTTTCTAAAAAGTTTTGGCAAATAAGAAATTATACTAAGAGAAACAAATGAAAAAAATAAGCAAAGACCAACATCACTTTTTTTTATTACATGAATTAAATTATTCAAACCATGAAGTTCATTCCATAGGCTAAAGATACACTATGGCTCTCTAATAGATTGCTACACAATAATAATGTGTTGTAAGATACATTATGGCTAATCCTAACAGATTACTGCATAATAATATTGTGCTGTAGTATTACTGATATATGATGCTCAGTTCCAGAAGGAGACAATGCTTCTACATTTCTAAATATTGTTTTATGCACGGTCTTTAAATTTTTTGACTTTAGAAAAATAATAAAGCCCTCATACATTTTGTAATATAAAAGTAAGATATGTAAAATTACCAATGCAAATGATGAACAGTATGACAAAATTACAGTTCTTGAAAAAAAATCATGTTTTGAGAAAAAAATTTTAAAAAGGCAAAAACTAGTATTGTCAATCAGTAGAAGAAAAGTAATGAACAGCTAAAAGGGAAGTGAAATATATGTAAATATTCTTCAAAGACATAAATAGCATATTAGGGTTTACTAGAACAACATGTGATTGAATAAAGTTTTTAGCTTTTCAGGCCAAAAGTATTAATTGATGGATTTGAATGAATAGAATTAAGTGGCTTGGCTCTTAAAATTCCGAATTTGTAAGACAATGGGAATAAAATATGTTGTCATACCAAAACAAATATTTCATTATCTTGGGAACTGGGAAAGAGGTTAGGAAAAGAAAATAAGGAATTACAAACTGAAATACTTCAGAATTTGGTGGGTAACAACATAAGGCGGCCCAGCAGCTTATATGATGGGGTATGAGAACTGCCCCATGGAAACAGAAAAAAAAATGAAGAGGGAGTAGACAGTTAATTCTAGGAATGCACCTATAATATTGTGGGTTGGGAAAAGATGCTGGAGAGGTCTTGTAGAGCTCAGAAGTAAGAAGACAATAGCAATAATGATAGAATAGGAACAAATCTAGGAGGCTTGGCTGAGTTCCCAAACATGGTACCCTGAAAAGCTTATTTTCTTTTCCTTCCTGGATATTGTTTTATCCTGGAGGTGGTGCCAGGAGCTAAGACTAGAATTCATTCTTGACTGCACTTGTTGGCAGTCATTGGACAGATGGCTTCTTGAGTTCTGGCATATTCCATGCATGAAAAGAACAAAAACAAAGAATTCTACTCCTGTCTAAAGTTCCCTTATTAATAAGCTTCTCTGTATTAAATACTATTCTTTCCAAAAATGCAAAATTTGTAATTATTATCCTAATTTACCATCTAACAAGCTTTATTAAGTATCTGCAATTTTAGGCTAGTAAAGTATTAATCATCTTCTTAAAAATGTTTATTGAGCATCTATTATCACAAATATGGAGATGCAAAAATAATACCATATAATTTGTTGATTAAATTACTGACAAGAGTTGTAAAATTAAAATATGGCTCCATAAGAACTTGGTTTGGGTTTA